TTCTTTTTTATATAGGAATATAATTGATTTTGTATAGTTATTTTGAAGTTAGCTGCATTGCTGAATTTTTCTATTGATAAATGACTATTTCTTTAGTCTTTTATAAGACTTAATTTTTCTGGGCAGCACCTGTGGCTCAGTGACTAGGGTGCCGGCCCCATATACCGAGGGTGGCGGGTTCTAACCCAGCCCTAGCCCAACAATAACCAAAAAATAGCCGGGCATTGTGGCGGGCACCTGTAGCCCCAGCTACTTAGGAGGGTGAGGCAAAAGAATCACCTAAGCCCAAGAGCTAGAGGTTTCTATGAGCTGTGATGCCATGGCACTCTATCAAGGGCAACAAAGCGAGACTCTGTCTCTAAAAGAAAAAAAAAAAAGACTTAATTTTCATAAACGAGTAGGGAAACATCATATACCACTTCTTTGTTATGTGCCCCTTGTCTAGTTAAGTCTTTTTTATCATGTGTGTGTTTGTGTGTGTGTCCAGAGGTAAAGATTAAATTAAGCCACTGATACAGTCCAAGTGTATTTAATTATATCAGTGTCTTGTGATAGTCTCAGGGGCCCCTACTGTGGCCCTATGTAAACCCATTCAGTCTGGCTTCTTCTCTCCTGTTCTAGCCAACCTGCACTCTACTTCCGTGTAAAGACTCCTGTGAAGATGCCAGCAATCTCTATTTTATTCCTTTATTACACAACCACCTCTCCCTTTGGCAACTTGAAGGAAACCCAAAATTTAAAGGTATTTAGAGTATTTAACCAGAATACATCTTAGAAAAAATCCAGAGCCGGAACAAATCCCTTAAGTAGCCTTGTAAATAAAGCAGAAAACTTTCACAAGTCAGCAGCATTTCTCAAAAGGACGAGTCCACCCTTATGGCAAGCTACACAAGAAACCAAAATTGCAAAAATCATTACTTTCCTAACTCGCATTGCCAAGCACCTGCAAGATTAAAAAAGAGTGATATCCAGTATAAGTCTTTCCAACAGATGCATTGAGACAAAAACCTTATGGTTAAAGGGGGAGAAAAAGTTGGGACAATTAAAAATGCAACTTCCAAATAATCAATGTCCAAAAGTTTTAAACTTTTCTTTAGAGTCAAAAAGTACTTCAACTCTGTGACCCAGTTCGTCAATAATTTTCTTCAAGCAAAACAAATTTCTTAGCATTATCTAAGTATATACACTGCTTGTATATAAAGGGCTAGCAAGTCAGCAATCCTATCTTATTCATGGGGAGTTCTTCTCTTAACTTCTTGTTACCATTTTCTGCCTTCTCCCAAGACTGCCCCATGTAGAGAGACGTGGGCAGCCCACACACATCCTACCCCAGTCCCACTTGCCCAGTCTGACTTTACTGTCTTTTTGTGATTCTCCCTTGCCAAACTTGACTCTTCTGCAATCTCTTAGTCAAATCCCCTAATTTTCATTGTTTAAATATTATCTGAACAAACTCCAAATCATCATTTACATCTTTTGCTCTATTTTTTTTTTTAGGTTGCTTAAACAAATACATACAACAAATAATGCAAATTATGGAAACAGAAAAAAGGGACTAAAGAGAAAGCAAGTAGGGAAGTTACTATGAAAACAGGAGATCAGAATCAAAAGCTTTTGTTTTCAGGCTCACACACCAATCACTTACGTCAGTGGTTGAAAAATTATAGCCCACTGGTCAAATCAGGGCCTACCATCTGTCTCTGTAAATAAAGTTTTATTGAAACACACACATACCTGCTCATTTACATACTATTTATGGCCACTTTCATGCTACAAAGGCAGAGTTGAGTAACTAGGACAAAGGCCATGTGGCCTTCAAGCCTAAAATATTTGCCACCTGGAAAAATTTGCAAATACCATGTTTATGCTATTCTATGCCTAGGGGATACAAGCAAAGCAGTTTCCTAGTATAGGCACACTCTGTGTGTGATTCTGAAGTGGTAGATTACTTTCTAGTATAAAGAGTTCACTATGTAATCAAATGAAAAAAACATACTTAGATTCATTTTTTACAGTAAACATAGCAATAGGTTTTGTAGGGTCAAAGGCATATCACAACTCATGTCAATAAAACAATTCTATGTGAAGCTGAAACAATGCCATTCAGGTATAAGTCACTCCTGGTCTGGCTTAATTCAGGGATAGTCCCCTCAGAAGGCAAATGGCAGCTACATATGCAGCCCTACTTCCTTAATACTGGCAGACATGGCTAACGGATCAATGTATGCTCTTCTGCTGAGCCCCCATGTGTCCTCAGAAGTCTTCCCTCAGCAGTCTTCTGGCAGCTTCAGCCAATCATTAGCAGTTGGCATATAAGCTAAAACCAATATGCCAACTTTGCAGTAAGGCAATTTTCCATGAACACACTCTCACCTGGGGGTGGTGAGATTGAGGTTATGCTCACTACAGAGCTCTTGAAGCACAGCTATTATATTTTGTCAACGTACAGAGCTGTCCCTGTTAATGGCGATTTTATCTGCGAACATTCAAGTTCAATATCCATTTTATTGGTTTAAAGAAATGAACACCCATGACCTTGATCCCTCAATATGGTCACACGCATGTTCCTAAGGATGAGGATTCTAAAATAAATGCAAATAAACCAAAAAAGGTGATTTCTGAGAAACTACAATTTAGTTAAATGTTGGAAGAAGATGATAAAACTGCAGACTATGGATTTAAAATATACATGTAGCCATTCTCTATGCCTGTTTCTTCCTTGTGGCTATAAAACTGTGTCATAAATTGATTCTTTTTCCAGCAGAACGAAAATTTTTGCTACCTAAAAGAAGCCTTGAACATGCAAATTTAAGATAATTATAATTATTCTTATTTTATCACACTGGAAATTGCTATTCAATCTATACCTAACCCCCATGTTGTTAAAGGAAAGAAAAAGACAAAACATATCCCGGACCACTTTACAATATTCCCAACAGATTTTTCCACAAGATGATTAAAAAGTAAAACATCTATGCCCTAGCACTTTCTTCACCTTATGGGCTTATGGTTGTGTTCTAGAAAACACCAACCACAAAAAAGTGAAACATAACCATATTTGACAGCAGACTTAATACAGCCAATGAACATAACAAATCAATGGAAAAAAAATTCTCTCCATCCTAACAAAGACCAAATACTACTAAATATTACCATTTAATCTTCTAGTATCAATGCTTAGGGTTCAATTTCAGATCACTTAAAGTCACATCTAAGCACACGAAAATGGAAAATTTGGACTCTGTATGGCAGTGGTTCTCAACCTGTGGGTTGCGCAACAGGTTGCGACCATGTATTAAAGGGTCATGGCATTAGGAAGGTTGAGAACCAGGGCTGTATGGCCTTAGAGGAGAAAAAAAAAGAAAGGAAAGGAAAAGGGAAAGGGAAAGGAAAGGGACGGAAGAAAAGGAAAGGAAAGGAAAGGAAAGGAAAGAAAAATTCTTAAAGAGTGAAAGAAAACACTAAGTCCAGATGTCACAGTAACAGGAACCACATACAGGGATTCCCATTTATGCAGTGGAGAAAAGGCACAGAATGTCAGTGCAGAAAATTCTGGAGGAAAGCAAAAGCTGCTCCCTTGCACCTATGGGCTGATTGCCATTTCTCCAAGCAATTACACAAACTTTCACATCCTTTGATGTGTGCTAAACCCAATCTGGAGATCAGGATTGAGTAAACGTTGTATGGCATTGCCTGAAAGGGCTCTTTCACAACAATCAAGGCCTTTAAAGTTTGTGCTTCCAAAAGATTGCCATCCCAAACAACCAACATGCATAGTACCTTTCCCAGAACCCTGAAAGTAGTAATACTTTTAGTAAATTTTTTTTAAGACTAGTTATGAAGGTTCCTACTTACGTAGTGCATACAATGTGAGAATTATTCCAGCCAGGCAAAATCCTTCAAAGAACCTGAGTGTGCTGAACATTGTCACATTCACTGACAATGCCACAGTCAGTCCAAAGATCAGGATAAAGATGATGGAAAACAGTAGCACAGGCCGCCGGCCAACCCTGCATATGGAGAGGGGAAAAGTCAGGAATCATCATGAAATAAGGCAGTGATGTCAGCTGCTGAAACCTGTATCCAGCAGGCACTCAATATATGTCGAATAAGTACTACATTAAAAATCTTCAGACCAGACCCACTTCACTGTATCATAGAATACTCTGGGTATTCTATGGGTGGAAAGGCCCTTGGGGAGATTTAGCCCAAGCCTCTAATTCTGGAGAGAGGGGAGCAAAGATCGACCAGCTACTGGACATAGGAATCACGCTGTGAACCTAATTCCTGTCACTGAATCTATTTCTGAGAATATGCAGGGATGATTCGAGGCAAGAGGAACAAAATCAATAACATCCCAAACATGAACCTTGACACACCCAGCATAAAAAGTCTTGAGAAATCATTGACCTTTGGAACGGGAGTGAAAGTCAATATGGCACTTAGCAAAGTGGCTTATTTCCTTTCTCTGGGCTAGTAACTAAGTCAAGGGCCTAAACCTACATGCAGTCTAACAGAGTTGGGCTCAAGCCAATTTGTTCCAGCTACATGATGACAAGTAATTTTTAAGGGACCACACACCAAGCTAGGATAGCTTGAACTTTAAATAGCTGGCGTGAACCTGATAGTGAATTAACAGTAAAGCCCAAAGGAGGGAAGGGGAGTAAGAGGGGAAGGGAGAGGGGTGGGTCGAGAGGGCAGGTTAGTAGGGGGACCACACCTATGAAGCCTATTGCAAGTACAAGTTGGATCTATCAGGTGTAGAACACAAAGGTCTTAATCCTGTAATTGGGTAAAAGAGGTGAAGGCTATGTTGTTTAGTAGGATGTAAACACTGCAATTTGTACAAATAATAAACACATTGAATGCCATAATGGCATAAATGTATTTATGATCTATGTACAAATGACTTAATAAAGAACAACAACAACCAAAAAAAAAAAAAATGGTGAAGCCCCCTGGCAGCAAGGGGTTGGTGGGAGGCCTTTGAGTTTCTGGAAAAGGCCATCCATCTGACCTCCTAAATTCACAGCTTTTGGAGCTGGCAGAAGCCAGATTGGTGACCACTAGGGGGCAAGGTGCTTCTAATGGTGGCTGGGAGGACAATAGTTGGTGGTCCATTGGAATTGAAAGGTCACCAGTTCCTTATCCCCCCATGCTAACTCTCTTCTTTTCCTTCCTTGACGCATTACGAATAGAACTTCAACAATAACTCTTCATCAAACAACTGGCTTGGTCTAGAAGGATATCCCACAGAGAAACTGGAGTAGAGTGTATATACTTTGTCTGAAAGGAAAAAAGGGCAAAAAATCCAGACCTAGCACGCTAACACCACAAAGGATAGATGAATGGATTGAACTATCCTAAATATGCTTATTCAAAGGCGCCTATTCTAAGCAAAATGCCCAGAAAAGGCAAATACAGAGAAACAGAAAAATTCATGGGGGAGAGAATGTGGAATGATCTCAAAAGGGCATATTTTCATCATCCCTTTACAGTGATGAGAATGCCTTAAACTCAGAGTGTGGTGATAGCTGGATAACTTTGTAAATACATTAAAACTCACTGAATTGTGTATTTATAATGGGTGAGTTTTACGGAATGTAAGTTATCTGTTAATTAAGCTGCTGAACAAAAAAGGCATGACCTCATCCTCTCAAAGAAAATTCTAGGGAAAGAACAAGAAGACAGACAGAATTTAACTCAGAACTTTTTTTTTTTTTTTTTCCAGTTTTTGGCCAGGGCCAGGTTTGAACCCGCCACCTCCATTATATGGGATTGGCGCCCTACCCCTTTCAGCCACAGGCACCACCCTCACTCAGAACTTTTTAAGGTTCTAACCATCCCCATTAGTCACTTTGGTTTAGTGGAATGAGACCAAGGCTATGTCTCAACACTAATGTAAGTTAATTATCTCATCTAGAGGTTTTAGCTATTGCTGCCTTTAACTGGTACTAGGGCTATGGAGGACTGTATAGAAGATTTTGTCTAACCCCAATTCATTTACAGAAATAAACTTCAAATATGGCTTAGTCATTCTCCTAAAATGGGAAAATAACTTATCCATTTTTATTTGTCTTTACTTCCCTTGTCTAAAAAATGGGAGTAAGCATCCCACCTCGCAGAGTAGTTGAGATGATTTACTAAGAGAATGATCGGCACACAAATGCAATGCCCAACACAAAGTAAACAGTTCAATGTCTCAGCTCTCATTCCTCCCTGCCCTTCTGCATTCCTAATGCCTACCAAACATGGTCTGCCCTGTTCTGGTACTTTAGAAAAGATGGGGTTTGTGTGTTTTTTTTTGTTTTGGTAGAAACCATCCTAAGTCCTTCCCTCCCAAATGGCAGTTAAACTGTAAGCATGGACTATATAACCTACCAGTGATAACTTCAAGCATGGTCTTTGAAATCATTGCATCCGGGTTTGAATCCAGGCTTACTACTTATGAACTATGCCATCTCAGGAATGGCCAAGCTTGTTCTGGGGAGCCAGTTGATGCCCACCCAATAGGGCTGCCGACAGGTATGGATATGGACAAGGGCTGCAGCAAGCATTCAGGGCACATTACTTACTAGCATCGGAGTTTTAGTATAAACTGACTCCCTGGAGCAGAATCCCCTCAGTGATGAATAATAAACCACATTCTGGTGGGCAGAATAATGACTCTTAAAGATGTCCATGTTCTGATCCCTGAAACCCGTGAATATTTTACCTTTCATCGTAAAGTGAATTTTGCAGAGGAGATTAAGTTTAAGGACCTCAAGATGAGGTGATTTTCCAGGAAAGTGCAATCTAACAACAAGGAGCACATCTTCTCATCACAGGGAACCAGAGAGAGGAGCATGAGGAGGACTTAACTGTTGGACTGAGGATAGAGGAAGGGGCCACAAGCCATAGAAAGCAGGTGGTCTCTAGGAGCTGAAGGAAGCAAGGAAACTGCCCATCTCCTACAGCCTCTGGCCTTGCCAATACCCCGATTTTAGCCCAGTGAGACCTTTGTTGGGCTTGTGAACTACAGAACTATAACATAATTAATTTGTGTTGTAAGCCACTACCACACATGTGGTAGAACTGATAGAGGATCTCAGCAGGAAATGAGGCCCTGCTTAAATGAAGTGGCTGGTGGAGATTTTAATAAAGGGATTATTTGCAAAAGAGTGAGCAAGCCATGAAGGAAGCCATAAGCAAGGTGTTTGATCTTTGCAGCTCTTAACAGCAGGGAGCACTAGGGAAAGGATGGTTCTGGGCTCCAGAGAGTGGGGCGCTTATGTGAAAGGGTTCAGACAGAAGGCTACCAGCCCTTCTACGTCTGCAGAGACCAAGCTGGGAGAAAAATACCCCACCTCACCCTCCTCTGCCCTGAGGATCTGCTTTCCACTGGCTGTTCTGGGCCAGGAGCTAGAAGGCAAGGGGCAGCCCACCATGGCCAGTGAGCTGCCCAGGGAGGCTGGAGAAGGGTGAGAAAGCTTCTACAGCAACATATGCAGCGGAAAGGGCACACCCGCAGGAGCTGCTGGCTGCCCTCCCTCTCGGACACCTGAATGAACAGATTCTATACTATAATGATACCCAGTGTATATCCCCAAGCAAAATCTACTAAATAGTGATTGTGTTAAATACAACCACCTTTTAAAGAAAGAAGTATACCACTCAAACATTATCCCATGCTGACAGCGTGGTACACGGCTTCCCATGTGACTTGATCTACTTCCCCATGCAGCTGGGCCACAAGCTGTGAGGTCTGGAGTTCCCTTTAAACGGGTATATTTCCTTTTAAGTAAGTCGTAAGCTGAGAGCAAAATGCCAGTAAATAAGGCTGGAAAATACCAAACTTTCAAACTGAAATGGAGGCCTGCTGAGAATATTCAAAAATCTACAACCCCAAGCAGCCTGCCCCTGACTCCAGGGAATCTCCTCTTGACTCTTAAAAAAGCTGCTGCAGGTAAGTGGGTTTGAAACATAAGACCTTTGCTTGCTCCCAGAGCAAGACCCAGACTCTTTTGTCTTTTGTCCTCAGGCCTGGTATGTGATGGGGGTGGGGGGCACACTGCACATATGTGCAAGAATAAGTCATGAAAACAATCTGTGACCAATTTAAACCTTTATATGCTGATTCATTAAAAGTCCATATTTACTTTCCTCTTAAATCAGCTACTGAATAAGGAAGGACACCAAAGCTTTGGTCAAGTCTGCATTTTTTGAAAGAAGGTGACATGAATTATATTAGTATAACTTCCTTACTTTTTCAATGCAAATTTTCGGGAAACTACCTTTTAGAATAGTATAGCTTATGCTGAAAATAAGTGAAGTCATGTATTTGTTTTAGAAAAACCCTACACCAGCCCCTACCAGGGGCCCCAGAGGTCACTGACTGCTTTTGTCCATAGGGAAATGTGTCTATAACAAGAATCTACATAAGATGATGAGGCAGATTCTGAGCACACAGGAAGTCACATTATATGTTAGCACGAGGAACTTCCAAATAGATGCTAGTTTGGGGAAGGAAATTTCTCCAGCTTTAACATGATCTTGGAATCCTCTGCTTTGACCCTCCAGGCTCTTGTCAGGGCCCAAGGGGGTACAGAGGGCATTACAAAGACTGATAGAGTTCTCTTCTTATCCCTGGTAGCCCTCATTATGTCATTGGGCCCAAAATGTCCTGATTCACCAAAAAAAAAAAAAAAAAAAAAAAAAAAAATTCCTCAGGGGAAATAGTTATGCCATGTCTCTTCCTGAGCAGTCCCATTACTTGAAAAACCTGTCACATTGTGCAATTGCCTCCCTGCTCAGACACGTCACCACTGTGGCCCTTGTGACCACAGAATGCCTTAAATAAAAGTGCTGCAGTGTCTGGGTAGAGAGGCCACTCTGGAGCCATGTGGCTGAGTTTCCAGACCCAGATCTCTGGCTTAAAGCTGGGCGAGCTTAAAGATTTAACATAAACTTCTGTCCTTTGGATTTTCAAGTCTAAGGCAGGGGTAATGACAGCATCCACCTAACAAGGCTATCATGAGGGTATTTTAATGTATGGAGATATTTAGCACGGTGCCTGGTTCCCAGTAATCATCCAGTAAGTGTAGCTGCTAATGTTGTCATCATCCTTACCATCATTAACATCTCCCAGTCAGTCTCCATACTACAACTTTATTGTTGCATCCTGAATCACACACTTTGCTCCAGCCACCCAAACTTCCTTACCCACCCAAACAAAGCATATTCACTCTCATTCCTGG